TTTTTCGAGACAGTCTTGCTCTGTTGCCCAGGTTGGAATGCAGTGGCACGATCTCGGCTCACTGTAACCTCTGCCTCCCAGGTTCAAGCGATTCTCCTGCCTCAGCCTCCTGAGTAGCTGGGATTACAGGTGCGCAGCATCACACCCGGCTAATTTTGTATTTTTAGTAGAGATGGGATTGCACCACGTTGGCCAGGCTGGTCTCGATCTCCTGACCTTGTGATCCGCCCGCCTCGGCCTCCCAAAGTGCTGGGATTACCGGCGTGAGCCCCGCACCTGGCCCCACACATCAGATTTTTGGTTGTCCCTAGCACATGTCTGTCCCACAAGTCTCTGTGGAGACTGCTATGGTGTGTCAGTATCTCCATCCCGTCTCACAGGTCCCTTGCGTGTTGTGTACATGCCTGTGTTTCAGGTCTGTTGAACACATCTTTTCTGTTGTGGACATGGCATACACATATGGCTCCAGGCTGTGCTGGGGGGGTGTCAGTTTCCTACATCTGTCAGTGTATGCCACAGATGTGTGTGTATGTTGCTAGGCTGTGCTGTCACCACTGCACACCTGTCTCACAACCAGCACACACAATACCTGTAATGTTTATTTCCAGGCTGCTCATGTGGTAGCAAAGGACACACTGTTTCCAGGTTTGTCACCACCATAAACCTGTCCATTTGGAACAGATCTTAATCACTCATTTCACCAATATCTAGTATACAGGAAATACTGGGGACTGGGGAGCAGAGTGAGTGGTGAACACACTGAACAGAATCTGAGATTTAATAAGCCAAATCAACAATCTGGGAAGTTCTAATGTACAAGCAGTTTAGCAACGTTACATAAATATTAAAGTAGTAAGCAGTACGTATAGGTTAAACTCAAAGACATACCTACTAAACATCAAATATATTTTGGATGCTGATAGCAATCTGTCTTAAGCAGCAGTTGATATGATTCAGTACTGTATATAAAACATTTATAATTTTGCACACATACATTTTTATTTTGTATATTAATCTTATAGTTAGGAAAGGGTCCTTAAATTTTAGAAATGCAATCTGAAGACTTTATGCCTTTAATGAAATATCTATAATTATAAATCCACATAGGGACAGATGAAACAAGAACAACCATGAATTGCTTGATAGTTAATGCTGAAAAAAAAGAAAAAGAATGACCACAAAATGATAAATCCACCACTGCACTCCAGCCTGGGTGACAGACCCTGTCTCAAAAAAAAAAAAAAAAAAAAAAAGATAAATGATAGAGGACTGGGAAAGGGTTCATCAGGTTTTATAATGATGTCTTCCATTTATAGGCATATTTGAAAACAGCCCCTACAAAGGGCAGAAGGGCAGAATATGTCTTTCTATCATTAATTTATGTTGCGAAGGATAAATTGAATAGGGCTGGAAGAAACATTTGGTTTTGGGAATGTAAGACGTATAAAAACATCAAAATATATATTTTAGAAATACACAACTGAATCCCTTCTAAGGTGAAGGATAAAAACCCATACAATTTAAGTTCATTGTATCTCAATAAAACTGTTTAAAAAAGAAATATTTAAAACTTGCCACTTCCTGATTATTTTACTGTTTTATTGTCATCTTTACTCTTCTGGCTATCTGTGGATACTCTATCAGTGTATTGCAAACAATACAAAGGTGTGTTACCAGAAAGTCTTCCCAACTCCAGGTTCAGTGACATCAATATGGCAGTTTGAAATTGACCACAGCAGCTGGGTGCAGTGGCTCATGCCTATAATCCCAGCACTTTGGGAGACCAAGGCGGGAGGATCACATGGTCAGGAGTTTGAGACCAGCCTGGCCAATATGGTGAAACTCCGTCTCTACTAAAAACATAAAAATTGCCGGGCGCGGTGGCTCACGCCTGTAATCCCAGCACTTTGGGAGGCCAAGGCGGGCGGATCACGAGCTCAGGAGATCGAGACCATCCTGGCTAACACGGTGAAACCCCGTCTCTACTGAAAATGCAAAAAATTAGCCGGGCGAGGTGGCGGGCGCCTGTAGTCCCAGCTACTCGGGAGGCTGAGGCAGGAGAATGGCGTGAACCCGGGAGGCGGAGCTTGCAGTGAGCCGAGATCGCGCCACTGCACTCCAGCCTGGGCGACTGAGCCAGACTCCGTCTCAAAAAAAAAAAAAAAAAAAAAAAACCATAAAAATTAGCCAGGTGTGGTGGTGGGCGCCTGTAGTCCCAGCTACTCAGGAGGCTGAGGCAGGAGAATCACTTGAACCAGGAAGGTGGAGGTTGCAGTGAGCCAAGATCACACCACTGCACTCCAGCCCGGGCGACAGAGTGAGACTGTCTCCAAAAAAAAAAAAAAAAAAAAAAAAACGGCAAAAAGAAATTGACCACGGCTGGGGTTGGAAGAGTAGGGTAACCTTGGCCTTGTGGATCCATGGCCTGAGAGGGGGTAGGAGGGTTGGAGGTGAGTATGGGTAGGGTCACAGAAAGGAGGAAGGAGTGACAGCTGGAAGCAACAGCGCGACTGTATGCTTAGCTGAGGAGTGCTATTGTTGAAAGAAGGCATGAATAAACAAAACCTTTACCAAAGTGAGTTCTTGTTCATGCTACCCAAAAGTCACTCCAAAACTCCTGTTTTTCACACTTTGTACGGACAGGCCTTCCAGGACTGTAGGACACACTTGAACGCCAGTGTTGGGACTGGGATTCTTTACTTCCCTCCTTTATGTAGCTTGCATAAATGTTTCTTCAGGGCCTCTTACACTAAGATCTTCCTAGGAACTGGGACCACAGTAGTGAATAGGAAAAAAGGCCTTGGCTTTCTCAAACCTTAGAATCTAGTAGGGAAGATGGGAGATTTAATAGGTAGTTTTAGTAAAATGCTTACACAAGTAGGCACTCAGTAAATGTCTGTTTAATGAAACCAAAAGTATTGGTATACATATATCTATATGTATATAGTTCTAACCTTATAACCACGACCTATCTAAAATCACCAAATAAGGATAGACCAAAAATCAAAAAGAATATTGACTATAACACGAGCATTTATATTAAGGAAATTGGGAAAGACTACAAACCTAGTTTTAATTTAATACATTATTGAATGCTTAGACTTAAGAAAGTGACAGAGAACATGTTAATGCAGATTAAAAATAAAAAATGTATGGGAAATACAGGTATTATATTGTGCACAAAAAATTAAGGAAAAGGCCAGGTGCAGTGGCTCATGCTCTGTAATCTCAGCACTTTGGGCGGCAGAGGTGGGAAAAATGCTTAAGGCCAGGAGTTAAAAGATTAGCCTGGGAGACCTTGTCTACACCCATTCACCCACACACACATACACACACACACACACACACACACACACACACGCATTCTGGAACAGGTGGTGAGGAATTTTTAAGAGAAAATTAAAAATTAGCGTGGGAAACCTTGTCTACACCCATTCACCCACACACCCACACCCACACCCACACCCACGCAAATTCTGGAACAGGTGGTGAGGAATTTTTAAGAGAAAATTAAAAATTAGGGCCAGGCATGGGTGGTTCACACCTGTAATCCCAGCACTTTGGGAGGCCAAGCTGTTTGCCCGGCCAACGTGGAAAAACCCTGTCTGTACTAAAAATGCAAAAATGAGTTGTGTGTGGTGGTGCACAGGTAGTCCCAGCTACCTGGGAGCCTGAGGCATGAGAATTATTTGAACCTGGGAGGCAGAGGTTGCTGTGAGCCGAGATTGTGACACTGTACTCCAGCCTGGGCAACAGAGCAACACTCTGTCTCAAAATAAATTAAAAAAAAAATCAATAAACAATAATTTTAAAAAATGGAGGGCTGGGCATGGTGGCTCACATCTGTAGTCCCAGCACTTTAGGAGACCAATGCAGGAGAATCTCTTGAGTCCAGGAGTTCAACACCAGCCTGGGCAACATGGCAAAACTCCACCTCTACAAAAATAAAAAATTAGCCAGGCAGTTAGCCATGTGCCTGTAGTCCCAGCTACTTGAGAGGCTGAGGCAGCAGGATCCCTTGAGCCTGGGATGTCCAAGCTGCAGTGAGCCGTGATGGCACCACTGCACTCTGCCTGGGCGGCAGTGACACCCTGTCTCCAAAAAAAAAAAAAAAAAAAAAAAGAAAGAAAAGAAAAGAAAAAGAGAGAAAAAATCCTCCAATAGAAAAAGAATTGTTTAACACAGCAAAGAAACTATACCATAGAAGAATGAGCGAGGAAAATTCCAACACGTCTTTGTTACTAAAGACAGTTATTCTGCACTGTGTTTTTATTTTTTTTAAAATATAAATAAACTGGGCTGGGCATGGTGGCTCACACCCGTAATCCCAGCACTTTAGGAGGTTGATGCGAGTGGATCACGAGGTCAGAGTTCGAGACCAGCCTGACCAAGAGAGTGAAACCCTGTCTCTACTAAAAATACAGAAAATAGCTGGGCATGATGGCACGCACCTGTAATCCTAGCTACTCAGGAGGCTGAGACAGGAGAATCGCTTGAACCTGGGAGGCGGAAGTTGCAGTGAGCTGAGATCATGCCACTGTACTCCAGCCTGGGCGACACAGCAAGACTCTATCTCAAAATACATAAATAAATAAAAAATAAATAAATGAATGAACAAACTAACTCATCTAAAAAAAGTAGGGAAAACATATGAACAGATATTTTACCAAAGAAGTTACACAGGTGGCAAATAAAAACATTAAAAAATGCTCAATATCATAAAGTTTTAGGGAAATGCAATGAAAACCACAGTGAGATACCACTATTCATATACTGAAAGAGCTAAAACAAAAAAATTTAGCCACATGAAGCACTGGCAGGGATGTAAAGGAACTGGGACTCTCATACACCCTTGGTGAGACTACAATAGGAAACATCCATTTAGATCAAATTTGGCATTTCTTAAAATGTTAAACATTCACCTACATTGTAACTAAGACATTACAATTTGAGTTATTAACACAAGGAAAATAAAACATATATCCATATAAAGAATTGAATTCAAGTATTTACAGCAGCTTTATTTGTAATATACAAAAATCTATAATATAAATGCCCCTAAACACATGGATAAACAGTGACTTATCCATAGAACAGCATGATACTCAGCAATACAAAGATTCATCATTTTTGAATCTCAATTATACAGCATGAAGAAAACCAGTAAGAAAAAAAGTATATATATCTATATATGTGTGTGTGTGTGTATATATCTCACTAAAAATTCCATAAAAGGCAAAGTAATTTACTGTAAAGGAGATCAGTTGACCCTGAAGAGCTGGGGAAGGGAGAAAGATTATAAAAGGATACAAGGTAAATATATGGGTGATACATAAATTCATTTTTATGGTTATGATGATGGTTTCATGGCTTTACCAAACTGTACACTTTGGATATGTGTACCTTGTTGCATGTCAGTTACACAAATTAGACCTTCATAAAGCTTTAAAACGTGGCTCAAAATTAAGAGCCTAGATGTTCCTTTTTTTTTTTTTTTAGATCAGGTTGGCAACCTGATAGGGACTTCACCATCTCTCTCTCTCTCTCCTCATGCCCTGAGAGAGGCAACCTTGCCTCAGGGGCAGCAAATTGGCAAGCAATGAAGACTGTTGCCACCTGAATTAATAGAAATGTTGGCTGAGTCACAAAAGCCACATCCCTGGACTACAGAATGATCCTCCTCTCTATTCTTGTTCTCCTACCTGCGTAACAATGGCCTTGAGGTGAACAGCCCAGAGAGGATACAAGGAGCCACGAAACCTTTATAGACTTTTTTTTTTTTTGGAGACAGAGTCTCACTCTGTCGCCTGGGCTGGAGTGCAGTGGTGCAATCTCAGCTCACTGCAACTTCCGCCTTCTGGGTTCAAGCGATTCTCCTGCCTCAGCCTCCTGAGTGGCTGGGACTACAGGCGCATGCTGCCACGCCTGGCTAATTTTTTGTATTTTAGTAGAGATAGGGTTTCACCATGTTGCCCAGGCTGGTCTCGAACTCCTGAGCTCAGGCAATCCACCCACCTTGGCCTCCCAAAGTGTTAGGATTATAGGCGTGAGCCACCGTGCCTGGCCAGACTATTTTCTGACAATGATCTCAGTGACAGTAAACAGAAGATCCTGAGAATTTCTGTATGCACTGATCCCACACAACCATATTCACTGGAAAATTTGTAGATGGACTTTTAGAAGCGGCATTCCTGGGTGCTGACGAGTTGATGGGTGCAGCACAGCAACATGGCACAAGTATACATATGTAACAAACCTGCACGTTATGCACATGTACCCTAGAACTTAAAGTATAATAACAATAAAAAATAAAAAAAAAAAAAAAAAAAAAAAAAAAAAGAAGCGGCATTCCATCTAATTACTGCAGTCTTCTCCACTCCCCATTTACCTGGAGTTTCTGTCCCAATTACAGTTGCTCCTGTAATTTCACCTCTACACCTATAGTCTGACAACAAATGGCACAAGTCTACATTGACTTATACGTCACAGCACATGGCTCCTTTGTAGGACCTGGGAAATAGATTTCCCTCAACAGTGCTAGGAATTATGTGGATCTCTTGTGGACAACTGAACAAAATTCATGTTCACAGAAGCACTGGGGATTGTCACAACTGCCTCTTTTTCATGGTGACCTCTGACCTGACAAAAATGGCACCGCAGCAGGCCACAATACAGGAACACAAAGCCTGGCAGTTTTTACTTTGAGGCCTTGGGCAGCAGGCCAATTAGACCAATACAGGACAAAGAGCTGTCTTCTGCCATCACAATTGTCCCTTCTGAGCACAGAAAGTTTGAGATCTCCACAAAATCTATTCACCCCTTCATGCTGACATCACTATTCTGCTTACAAGTCATTCGACGCAATGAATAGAACCCCCAAGATTAAAGGCGCATAAATTTTTTTAAAGCCTTTACAAAAAGATTATAAATCTTTTTTATAAACCAGTTTCCAGGCTGGTGAATCAGAATCTGGAAAAATTCATTACAAGCATCATGTGAGACCAACGATGTTCCTAAAAAAGGTAATCCTTCTTAGAAAGCTGACAGCACAATTCAGATTCTCTGGACCACAATTGGGTCAAGTCTATACTCTAAAGTCAGAGAAAAGACATGAGGACCCCCTACGTGCTTGGGCTATGAATAATTTCCCCAAGCAAATGCGAGAGTACAGACGTTTCCTTCTTTGAGCACTGTGGGGAGGTGACTCATGCACATGGTGTGCACCTGCAAGGTGGTAGGGGTGAAACGGCTTCAGCCTCTGAAACTAGCAGTGACATAAATCAGGCTATAAGCCTGGGCAGATCAGAAATTACAATGAACCTCCTCAGAGCTTCCCACATACCTGAAACTTATGAAGAATACCCTACTGTGGATGTTCAAAGTTTAAATTTAGGAAGGTGGCCACCACAGTCTCCTCCAGTGCTGTTATACTGAATAAAGAAATAGCGCATTCCCTTCACATTTAAGGCCTTTCTTCAGTGTGAACTCTCCGATGTCGAATGAGGTTAGATTTGCGGCTAAAGGATTTCCCACATTCATTGCATTCATAAGGCCTTTCTCCAGTGTGAACTCTTTGGTGCTGAATAAGGTCAGATTTGTGAGTAAAGGGTTTCCCACATTCCCTGCACTCATAAGGTCTTTCTCCAGTGTGACCTCTCTGGTGTTGAATGAGGCTAGAGCTCTGGCTAAAGGATTTCCCACATTCACTACATTCATAAGGTCTTTCTCCAGTGTGAACTCTCTGGTGTTGAATGAGGCTAGCGCTTTGGCTAAAAGCCTTTCCACATTCACTACATTCATAAGGCCTTTCTCCAGTATGAAGTCTCCGGTGCTGAATAAGGCCAGAGCGCTGTCTAAAAGATTTGCCACATTCATTGCACTCATAAGGTCTTGTGCCAGTATGAATTCTCCGGTGTTGAATGAGGTCAGATTTGCGGGTAAAGGATTTTCCACATTCACTGCATTCATAAGGCCTTTCTCCAGTGTGAACTCTTTGGTGCTGAATCAGGATAAATTTGCGGCTAAAAGATTTCTCACATTCACTGCACTCATAAGGCCTATCACCAGTGTGAATGCTGCGGTGTCGAATCAGGTTAGAGAATTGTCTAAAGGATTTCCCACATTCACTGCATTCATAAGGTCTTTCTCCACTGTGAATTCTCTGGTGTTGAATGAGTTCCGATTTGCAGCTAAAAGATTTCCCACAATCACTGCACTGATAAGGCATTTCTCCAGTGTGAACTCTTCTATGTCGAATGAGATTGAAGATTTGTCTAAAGGATTTCCCACATTCACAGCACTGATAAGGCCTTTCTCCAGAGTGAACTCTCTGGTGTCGAAAAAGGCTAGAGCTTTGTCTAAAGGATTTCCTGCACTCACCACATTCAAAAGGCCTTTCTCCAGTGTGAACTCTCTGATGTTCAATGAGGTTAGATTTGTAGCTAAAGGTTTTCCTACATTCACCACACTCATAACGCACTCCTCCAGTGTGACGTCTCTGGTGGTGAACGAATTCAGATTTATGGATAAAGGTTTTCTCACGATCACTGCATTCATAAGGCCTTTCTCCAGTGTGAATTATCTTGTGTAAGATTAGGTGGCACTTTTTGCTAAAGGATTCCTCACTTTGACTACACTCAAATGTCTTTTGTCCAGTGTGAATTTGCTGGTGCTGAACAAGTGTGTTCTTGCAGGTGAAGGCTTTCTCACATTTGCTACACTCATAAAGCCCTTCTTCAGAGCAGACACTCTGATGCTGAACAAGTGTGTGTCTGTGGCTTGAGGCTTTTCTGTATTCGCCCCACTTGTAATAACTTTTTGCATTGAAAAATGCCTGTATATGCTTGCTGCTGCTACTGTGTGGCTCCTCACCACTGGGAGTGGCTTGGTGTTGGAGTAGGTCCATGGAGGCTGGGAAGTCCTTCCCACAGATGAAATAATTCAACACATGGAATCTGCAGCCTGTCACAAATGTAGCCTCATCCACATTCCCTTTCCAGGGCTCTTCTTCATTGTAATGCTTTTGATGCTGATGAGGGTCAGCACTGAAGCAGAAGCCTCTCACGCTTGTGCCACCCAAGTACGACTTTTGCACAGGGGATGTGGTTTGGTGCTCAGCCTCAGGCAAAATGTCGTTCAAGACTGGGACACACATCTTAATCTCACTGAGAGATTTCTGGGTGGGTGTATCGCCCTTAGAAGTCCTGACCTGTGTAGATACACTCTGCTCAGAAGCTATCACCTCATTGTCCATTCCATGGCAATAACCTGAAAGCAGAGAAATGCTGATGAAATGCATGCTGACTTTCATGGAAGGTGAAAGATGTATCACAAAAAAATGTGAGACACAAGAACTGAGTGCATGGAACTGTTCTGAGAACAACGGAACTGGGGAGGAATAGGCTGCTTTGAAGTACTAGGCCTTTTTTTTTTTTTTTTTTTTTTTTTTTTTTTTCCTGAGACGGAGTCTCCCTCTGTCGCCCAGGCTGGAGTGCAGTGGCAGGATCTCAGCTCACTGCAAGCTCTGCCTCCCGGGTTCACGCCATTCTCCTGCCTCAGCCTCCCAAGTAGCTGGGACTACAGGCGCCCGCCACCTCGCCCGGCTAGTTTTTTGTATTTTTTAGTAGAGACGGGGTTTCACCGTGTTAGCCAAGATGGTCTCGATCTCCTGACCTCCTGATCCGCCCGTCTCGGCCTCCCAAAGTGCTGGGATTACAGGCTTGAGCCACCGCGCCCGGCCTAGTACTGGGCTTTTGAAGATTATAGAAATGTCCTCTCATCATGCAAAGGACACAAGGATGAGGTACAGCACAGGAGGAGGAGGGTCTCCAACTCACTCTCTGCCAAAGTCCTCAGCAGGACTTTGTCTGCTAGTGATGTATGTGCTATGCAGAAGACTGCTGTTGTCCAGTCCTAGGAAAATCCAATTGAAACTGGGTAGCTGGTGATCAAGGAGGACTATTTGAGGCTGTGTGCATACCTCACAACACAGTGAGTCAAGACTGAAGAACACTGAAAAGAAGTGAGCTGTGGAGAAGACAAGTGACACATTGAGACCAAGAGGGTGGAGGCAGCCAAACACTGGAAGTGGCAGATGAAACGACAATTCGGCACAGTATTGCATAAGGAAGCAGAAGTAGAAACGAGGTATGGCCAGTGGCACTTGCACCAAAATGCTGCTGGACACAAAATGCTGCTGATATGATTCTAACACAACCATGATGTCATGCCCTTCCCCAGCTGCCACTCACTGGGGCCAGGCCTCCTCTGAGACCACCTTGCCTTCTTCACTCTGTGAAGCAACTAGGGTTCTCCCTGCAGCCCTCATTGTGCTACCACCTAACACATGAATGATGTAAGTCTTAAGGAAAGAGAGGACAAGGGAGTGACCAGCACTCACAAAAAACACTCAAAGGAGAGTCTTGTAAAAAGAGCTCCACAGTTCATGTAAGTGGTAATTATGACAATGCCTGCAATTTCTGATACAGGTGGGCATACAGAAATGGCAGCTAGAGGAAAAGGGCAGAAACTGGGCCACAAGGTACCATGAATCTGTACACAGTCATCCTGACAGGGGGAAGACAAGAAAAATAAGATCCACTAGGCTGACAGTAAGACTCCTGAGACAGAGGTAACTCTCGGGGTCAAAAAGAAAAGCAGACACTGGAAGGGATGCTAGGACCTTACCCAGGGATGTTACATGTGCAAAGTTCTCCAGCATCACATCGCAGTACAGGAACCTCTGAGACTCATCAAGGAGCTCCCACTCTTCTTGGGAGAAATAAATGGCCACATCCTCAAAGGTCATACCCTGTCACAGCAGGAATAGTTCAATCCACGATCAGACCCAGAGTTCATTATCCTCTTGCCCCCAACATCCATCCCCGGGTCACCCTATTGCCCACCTCAGCAGAGATAACCAGCCACGGTGCCACTGATGCCTACTCTCTCCCCACAGTTTCACTGATACTGAGTCCTCGAATAGCAACAACAGGTGTGTGAACAGATAGATGCTATCTAAGCTCTGGGCTTGGCAGGTAGGCTATACCTCTCACAAACACCAGTTAGAGAGAGAATTGGCCATAGAGAGGGTGTGTGATCTGACGTTTGTCTTGTCAGGCAATACCCGTGAAGTCCCCAAGATTGATCTTCCAAGACACAATACGGGCTCACCCTTTACCCCTATGACTCCAGTTCATGGCCCTCAGTTTATTCTCTCTCTTCTCATGCACATCACTCTTTGAACGACACCTGTCTCACACAGCTGCATTCCCACATCCACAACCTCAAAGGTCACACAGCTTTTCCATGATTGGGACAGTTCATTCTATAATCAGTATCTCTCCTAGGAACCCAAATTCATCCCCGCTGTTCATCCTTCTCTCCATCTTCTCATTTGAAAGAATACAACAGGGCCCAGTGACACTGATGCCCCCTCTCTCCTCATGGTCCCATTGGTCATTGTGTTTTCCCACAGCAACAACAGGCAGGTGGGCAAATATCTAAGCTCTGAGCCTGCCATGCAAGGAACCACAATCTCTTGTCTTCCAGGATAGTTTCCTTACAAGAGATTGTGGATCCTTGCATGGCAAGAGAGGGGGCATCAGTGTTATTGGGCCCTGTTGTATTCTTTCAAATGAGAAGATGGAGAGAAGGATGTGGATCTCACCAAGGATCTCAGATAACTTGTGGATCTCAGATAACCAAGGCCTCTTCCACTCCTGGGCAGTGACTGCTGTCCCATCAGTCACAGCCTTCCTCTCTACAACTACCACTAATTCAAGGTCCAACTCCAGTAGCTCTCTACCCCCGGCCCAGTGAGTCCCACAGATGGCCAATTATGCTCCTAAGATAATGTGACAGCCTGACTGAAACTTCCCAGATCCCACCAAGAGTTAATATAAAATCCTGGTGAGTCTGCAGAGAGGTGAATATGCACCCGTCCTAGCATCATCCTGTCTGTGTAACTCCTATGCCTCTACATCCGTCTCATGTCTACTCACCCCTGAGAAGCCCTGGCCACATGCTAGATCATAATCTCTCTCCGACCCTCCCCATGAACATTTCTGTCTAATAGCTGTGTCGCAACACCTCACACAACCAGGGGCTCAGGCAGGAGACCAGTCTTTGACCTTCCCCTCCCATTCCTGGGCAACTATTATTATCATTGTGAGCCGGCTTCCCCTCTACTAAATGTGATCCACAGCTCCACTCTGGTCCACAGATTGTCCACTACCTTTTGGAAAAGTCTCCATTCTGAATCTCTCCTCACTGTTCCCAACCTATGGTTCCAGCAGCCCATGAACCATTTCTCTGAAAACTCTCATAGTCTCAACAGGTCAAAAATAAAACTTCTGATATCTCAAATGAAAACTACTCCTACTATGGACTTCCCCATCTTAGCGGATGGAGCTTCCACCCTTCGAACTGCCAAAATAAAACCTTTAAGTCATCCCTGACTCCACTCATCCTCAAAATTAAAATTTCAGGCAGCCCTACTTATAAAATGAATCCAGAATCCAAGTGCTTCTTGCATCTTCACAGCCACCATATTGGCCCAGCTACTATCACATTCACCTGGACTATCCCAGTAGTCTCCTCCCAGGTCTTCCCCCTCGTCTTTCAGTCGGCTTCCCATGCTGCAGCCACAGGGAGCCTAATAAGACCTGAGCCAGATCACCTCCCTCCTCCACTCCAAACCTCCCACTGTTACTATTAAGTAACGAACAGACAACTCATCTTCTCAGGGAACCCTTCCGAGTCTGACTTCTACCACACTGCTCCCTGTTCTCATGAGAAGAAAATAATTGTAGGTTCCTGAACCATCTTAGCCTCCTCTCCAAACCTTTGCATATACTGGTAACTATGCCTTGGACAACCTACACTTCCTTTCCCCCAGCTGCCAACAGCTTCATATAATCTAACCTGGACTTAGGACTCTGGGCTCTGTATTTGCTCAAAGTCCCAGGGCCCAAGGCTAGATGAGAGGCGGGAGAGCAGTCCAAGAACACCACTAGTTCAGAGACCATAATGGGTGAAGTGAGGACCAGTCACACACACACACACCACTCACCAATTAGGCTCCATAAGCCATTCTACACTATAGAACTCTATAAAAACATAAAACCACGAGAGTCAGGCAACGACATACAGGTTCCACAGGCTCAGGTCGCCCAATGACCCTGGCCCACTTTTGGAGCCAGGTGGCCTGGGCTGGCGGCACTATCTCCGCACCTCAGTCCTCAGTGCTGACTTTACCAGCTGCGCGAGCTTGGACAAGAACTCAGTCTTCCTATGCCTAACTACTATTACCTATCTTCAGCCTGTTCTTCCCCTGAGCAACTTTTGGATAGCTTTAGGATATCTTAGCCCGGTGTCCCTATCTGTTCACAAATCTCGAAGGCTGCCAGTGTCCTCAGAACGGTCAAATTCCTCAGGTGCAACTCTGCCTCACTCTATGTTCCTGCAGACCCGAGATGGACCCCAGGCTACTGAATCCCCCCCGGCTTAGTTGCAGCTCCAAGTTCTGCACGCGTCAGTACCCTGCCCGTCACACTGCCGTACACACTGGGCGTCAGAAACGGGACCCACCCACGAGCGCCTTGTCCAGAGCACTGGGGCCTGGGCTGCAGAGCTGTGAGCAGGCATCCCTCACTGGGCCTTAGGGCTTCCGCTGGGGGAGGGCAGGCGAGACCCGGAGGACGCAGCACTCACCTGAGCCGGGTCCCTCAGCGCGACTGCCGCCATTGAGCTCCGTCGACTAGGCGGTGAGCGGCGGCCGACCGGGGTGGGCATTCGAACACAGCAGCTCCTATCCCGAGCCTGGCACAGCTCACCCGAAGTGGCGTCGCAGAACCTCAGGCCCACTTTCGCGCCTTCTCTGTCCCGTCCCTCAGTCGCGACCCAAACTGCAGACACTGGCGGGGCGAACAGACAGGAGAGACGCCAGAATGACCGCCACGAGGAGGACGCCGGAAGTTCCGGCCCGTCGCTCTGCGCATGCACGGAAGTGCCCCATCCTGGGCTGTCATTGGCTCAACTTTGCTGCCGTTTAGCGCTCTGCACTCTGGATAATGTAGTTGCCAAAACGCCACAGAGCTCTTTCGAGTGTGTCTACTGCTTTGACCTCTGTGAACGTGGATTCTGAGGTGCTGTGCCCAGTGCAGGGAAATGGCGACTTCGGCCTCCAGTTGGGAGGGAGGTGGTTACCCCTTCTTAAAGGGCCTTTTTCCAGATTTCTGGGGAGTGTTTTCTGTAACTGATCACTTAAGTGTTTAGAGACATTATTTCAGACTCCACAAAGATCAGCGTGCCCCTAGAGGAAAAAATATTATTTCAGGGGGTTGGGCGCGGTGACTCACGCCTGTAATCCCAGCACTTTAGAAGGCCGAGGCGGGCGGATCACCTAAAGTCACGAGTTCGAAACCAGGCTGGCCAACATAGCGAAACCCCATCTCTACTAAAAATAAAAATATTAGTCAGGCGGGCCGGGTGTGGTGGCTCACGCCTGTAATCTCAGCACTTTGGGAGGCCGAGGTGGGCGGATCACGTGGTCAGGAGTTCGAGACCAGCCTGGCCAACATGGTGAAACCCCGCCTCTACTAAAAATACAAAAATTAGCAGGGTGTGGTGGCCAGCGCCTGTAATCCCAGCTACTTGGGAGGCTGAGGCAGGAGAATCGTTTGAACCTGGGAGGCAGCGGTTGCAGTGAGTCGAGATCACGCCATTGCACTCCAGCCTGGGCGAAAGGGGGAGACCTTGTCTCCAAAAAAAAAAAAAAAAAAAATTGGATTTTGGAGCATTTTGGATTTTAGATTTTTGGCTCAGGGATGTTCAACCTGTATTTTTTTCTCATTCAATAGGCTTCTCTTTCACTTTGTTATTAATGTTTGATATACTAAAGTTTTAATTTTCATTTAGTCTAATTGGTCTATTTTTCTTTTGTCACATGTGTATTTGGTGTCAAATCCAAGAAATTATGGCCAAATTCAATGTCATAAAACTTTCACCCTATATTTTCTTCTAAGCGTTTTATAGTTTTGGGTCTTATGTTTAGGTTTTTACTCCATTTTGAGTTCATTTGTGTTTTTGGTGTTAGGTAAGGGTTCACCTTCATTCCTTAGCATGTGAATATTTAGTTTTCCCAGCATAATTTGCTGAAAAGATCATCATTTCCCCATTGAGTGGTCTTAGTAGCCTTGTTGAAGATCATTTGACCATATACATTACTATCCATTACTATTGCAAATGAAATTGTTTTCTTAATTTCCTTTTCATATTTTTCATTGTTAGTGTATGGAAAGGCATATGAGTTTTACACGTTGACTTTTGCATGTTGACTGTGAATTCAGCTACACAGACGAATTTGTTTATCAGTTCTTTTTTTTTTTTTTTTCCAGATGGAGTCTTGCTCTGTTGCCCAGGCTAGAGTTCAATGGCTTAATCTTGGCTCACCACAACTTCCGCCTCCCGGATTCAAGCAATTCTTCTGCCTCAGCCTCCCAGCTAGCTGGGACTACAGGCGCCAGCCACCATGCCCAACTAATTTCTGTATTTTCAGTAGAGACAGGGTTTCACCATGTTGGCCAGGATGGTCTTGAACTCCTGACCTCGTGATCTGCCCACCTTGGCCTCCCAAAGTGTGGGATTACAGGCGTGAGCCACTGCGCTTGGCCTGTCTTGCTCTGTCGCCCAGCCTGGAGGGCAGTGGCACGATCTCAGCTCACTACAACCTCTGCCTCCCAGGTTGAAGCGATTCTCCTGCTTCAGCCTCCCGAGTAGCTGGGATTACAAGCATGCACCACCATGCTCAGCTAATTTTTGTATTTTTTAATTAATCAAAGTTGCCAGCAAAAAAAAAAAAAAAAAAAAATTATTAATTCCTCCCTTAGAAGTTACAACAAACATCTTTTTAAAAATTTTTTGAGCCTGTCACGCAGGCTGTAGTGCAGTGGTCTGATCTCAGCTCACTGCAACCTCTGCCTCCCGGGCTCAAGTGATCCTCTCATCTCAGCCTCCCAAGTAGCTGGGATTACAGGTGCATGCCGCCAAACCCAGCTAATTTTTTTGTACTTTTTGTACAGATGAGGTTTTGCCTTATTGCGCAGGCTGTTCTCAAACTCCTGGACTCAAGTGATCTGCCCGCCTCAGCCTGACAAAGTGCTGGGATTACAGGCATGAGCCACCGTGACCAGCCTAAACATCTTTAATCTAATTTGACCTTCAAATAACTACTGGATTGCTTCACATGTAATGCAGGGACCCTGTAACAGGACCTTTGGGGATGAATTCTTTAGTATTTGTGTGAGAAAAGCTTTATTCTCCTCCACCTTCGAAAGATAACATCGCTGGATACAGATGTTAGGGTGGGGTTTTATTTTTTGTTCTAAATTTTGAACATTTCACTCCATTCCCTTCTTGATTATCTGGTTTCTGACAAGAATTCTACTCTAATTCTCATCCTTGTTCCTCTGTAGGAACAAACTATCATAAAATCACCTCCATCTTCTTTCAAGAATTTCTCTATCTTTGGCCTTCTGTAGTTTGAATATGATGTATGTAGTTGTAGGTTTTTGGTATTTACTCTGCTTCCTCTTCTCTGAGATTTTGGAATCTGTGGTTTGGTGTCTATGATTAATTTTGGACCTCCAAGTGGAGGTTGCAGTGAGCCAAGATCACACCAGGGCACTGCAGCCTGGGCAACAGAGCAACACTCCGACTCAAAAAAAAAAAAAAAAAAAAGTTGGGCACGGTGGCTCATGCTTGTAATCCCAGTAGCACTTTGGGAGGCCAAGGTGGGTGGATCACCTGAGGTCAGGAGTTCAAGACCAGCCTGACCAACATGGAGAAACCCCATCTCTACTAAAAATGCAAAATTAGCCAGGCATGGTGGCACATGCCTGTAATCTCAGTTACTTGGGAGGCTGAGGTAGAAGAATCACTTGAACCCAGGAGGTGGAGGTTTCAGTGAGCCGAGATCTCTCCACTGCACTCCAGCCTGGGTGACAGAAGAAGACTCTGTGTCAAAAAAAAAAAAAAAGTAACTTTTGTTAATACCAGTTGATTTAAATTATGCTTAGACATTTTTCTACTTTTATTAATAAGATAATGCATTATCTTTTATAATCCAGCACCATGGTAAATTACATTATTTACCATGGTAAATTACAAAAGAAAATTAATCTATTTTCTTTTTTTTCTTTTTTTTTTTTTTGAGACAGAGCCTTGCTCCGTCGCCAGGCTGGAGTGCAGTGGTGCAATCCCAGCTCACTACAACTTCCATGTTGGTCAGGCTGGTCTTGAACTCCCAACCTCAGAAGATCCACCCACCTCAACCTCCGAAAGTGCTGGGATTACAGACGTGAGCCACCGTGCCTGACTTTTGTCACTCAGGCTGGACTGCTATGGTGTGGTGTGATCACCATGTTGGCCAGGATGGTCTCGATCTCTTGACCTTGTGATCCACCCACCTCAGCCTCCCCAAGTGCTGGGATTACAGGCATGAGCCAATGCACCCAGCCTCTATTTTCTAATAAACAATCCTTGCATCCTGGGGATCAATTCAGGATGTACGACATCTTTATTCATTGTTAATTTTACTAGCAAATAGGATGGTTGCATCTATATTCATGAGTGGGTTTGGTGATTAAATGTCATCTCTCAGGGTTTTTTATATTTAAGCTTGTACAATAAAGTTATGCTAGGCTTATAGAGTAAATTGATATTTTCTGTTATCTGCAAGATTTGGAATATATTTGATTATTTCATTGAGTGTTTGACAGAACTCACCTCTTCTATATCTTGCAGGGTCTGGAATTTGATTTTGGAGATTATATTACGAAACAAGTGGTTACAATTTATGATAGTTTGCTCAGGGAGGTCTCTCTAAGAGAATAACTTTAGGGACATGAAAGAGACAAAGATGCAGACTTTGTGGACATTTTGGATTACATCATTCCAGAGGGTGGAGAATATCAATGCAGAGTCCCCAAAATAAGAGGATTTTTGGAGGCTCTGCAGTTACTGGGGAAAATGCTCCAGGCAGAGGGAAGTCCAAGGGTAGAGAGTGGAAAATGGGAAAGAAGCTGACATTTTCAGAACAGCTTAACTGAAAGTAGTGAGTAAAGGAATAATGCAAGGAAGGTCACAGATGTGGTAAGTGAGGTCTACTGGTGTAGGGCCATGTCTGACGTGAGGTGATCAAATCTTTTGAGAATTCCTGGAGGCAGCCTAACAGGAACAAGAGCTCGTATTTCAGCATTGGAGACAGAGCCATTAACAAGACAGACCTTGCTAAATGGGCAGGAGAATGTCAGATGACCCTAAAGGTTCTGATGACAGTAAAGTAGAATGAAATTATAGAGAGGGGGTGACTCTATGAGATAGCAGAGTTCCCTTGACCCTTGACCCCTTTGCAGGATGTAACAGGGGTGTGGCTTGCTTACTCAGCACCCCAAGCTCAAACCGCTAGCCAGAGTGGGAGCATGCAGGTGAGTGGGTACAAGAGCCTGGAGAGTGGTGCAGGAATGAACCCTGTACTGGCCTGGAGCAGCGTCCAGGGGTTGCCCGCAACCTCTGGAGCCCCGGAGGGCCTGTGTTAAAAACAATGTTTTGTTGGGGTTTTTTTGAGACAGAGTCTCATGCTGTCACCCAGGCTGGAGTGCAATGGTGTGGTCTCAGCTTACTGCAACCTTCGCCACCCAGGTTCAAGTGATTCTCCTGCCTCGGCCTCCTGAGTAGCTGGGACTACAAGCACATGTCACCACACCTGACTAATTTTTGTATTTTTAGTAGAGACGGGCTTTCACTGTGTTGGCCAGGCTGGTCTCAAACTCCTGACCTCGTGATCTGCCTGCCACCGCCTCCCAAAGTGCTGGGATTACAGGCGTGAGCCACCACACCCGGCCAAAAACACAATATTCTTCTATCAGTTGCCTCCCATGGATGGCTAAGTGATAGCCAGCTCAATGGAGAGTCAGGGTGACAGCCTTTTACACCCTGCCCTCTTGGTACCTCGGTTCTTGCCTGCTGTCCAGGAAGAATCCCGTCAGGCCAACTTGAAGGATAGTGCATGTGGAGATTTTATTAAGCGGTGGAAGTAGCTCTCAGCAGAAGGGGAGCGGGAAAGGGGATGCTGCAGGAGGAAGGTGATCGTTACCTCCAACCAGGTCATCTCCACCAGACTCCTCTCCGAAGTCCTGCTGTCTGAAGTTAAGCCACGCCCATCCCTAGTCTCCAGCTCAGTTGCTGCTTCTCCTATCAACTTCGGAAGGGCTATCAGGACAGTGGAGGCGGCCTGGGATGAAGTGGATTACACGGATTACAAATGAATAAGAAAATCTTCGGCCGGGCGCAGTAGCTCACGCCTCTAATCCCAGCACTTTGGGAGGCCGAGGCGGGCAGATCATGAGGTCAGAAGGTCGAGACCAGTCTGGCTAACACGGTGAAATCCCGTCTCTACTAAAAATACAAAAAAATTGGCTGGGTGTGGTGGCGGGTGCCTGTAGTCCCAGCTACTCGGGAGGCTGAGGCAGGAGAATGGCGTAAACCCGGAAGGCGGAGCTTGCAGTGAGCCGAGATCGCACCACTGCACTCCAGTCTGGGCGACAGAGCGAGGCTCCGTCTCAGAAAGAGAAAAGAAAAGAAATATAACTACAACTCCTAAGGAGAACCATGGACTCTCTACTGCAGAGGGTAAGCCACTTCCACCTAGAATAAAGGATGGCAATTGTAATGAAAAGCCCAATGATATTTTTGTTTCCTCTGGTAGGGAAGCCCTGTCTTTCCCAGGGTAAGAGAGGAAATTCCAAATACACAAAACTCCAGGAATGAGTTCCGAAGCCCCAGGGCAGTTGAGCTCGAAGGAAGCTCCGCCAGGGAGTCCAGGAGCCTGCGCAGTGCTGGCGGACACTAGATCCCAGAAGGTAACGTGTGGCTGGATGCCGACGACTACAACTCCCAGAGGCCATTAGAACGCCTGGCTCCGGACGGACGTTTCAGGAGACCGCGGCCCTGGGTCACCGCGTTCCACTGGGACCTGTCGCCTCAGTTTCCAGCCCAGCTTTCCTCCTCTGCCCATCGGGGGGGAATCACATTCAACGCCTTCTGTCTCCACAATGCGGCTCATCAGGCGGTCCCCTATGCCCCTGCGCAGAACTCACCACCTACTTCAGCTCCCAGAGAGCAATGCGCGCCGCGTAATGCACTACAAGTCCCAGAAGCCTTTCTGCCAATATTTTCATCCGGGGACTTTAAGCCAAGAGTCAGCAGCGGGAGGCTTTGGGTATCAGTGAAAGCTGGCTGTAATCGCTGACAGGGTAGGGATATAATAACTGATGTGAAGCGTTGGGTGGAGGCCAGGGGTTATTGTTTTATTTGTGATTGCAGGACCCGTAAAACACCCAGTAAAATCAGACTGGCAGCTGGTGTGTCAGAGAGAACCGTCAGATACACATTAAGCCTGCAGAATAGAAACATATTTTCTATGCAGGGGGTGAGGAGGGAAAGAACTTTGTTTACCCCCCTTGTCCTATTGGCTGACTCCAATAAACTGTACTCAGGGTTTGGATATTAAAATCAAAGCATTCAATGGCTCACTCCTTTAGGTCCAGCTGCTCAGGAAGCCGAGGCTGGGAGGTTGGCGGGAGTATTGCTTGAGCCTAGGAGTTGGAGACCAGCCTGGGCAACACAGCAAAAGCCTCTCTCTACACAAAATACAAAAATTAGTAGTGACTCACCTATAACTACAGCTATTCGGGAAACTGAGATAGTAGGATCCCTTGAGGCCAGGAGGCCGGGGGTGCAGTGAGCTCTGATGGCACCACTGCACTCCAGCTTCGGCAACAGAGCCAGACCCCGTCTGAAAAGAAAACCAAAGCAGTAGCCATATCTAGTGTTGGAGAAGACATGGACATTAAGTTTTTACCTTGCTGATGGTGCTGTAATAGATTGAAAAACCACGTTGACAAAGTTTTCCCCTGCTTCATACAGATCTTTGCAAACAAAACTTTTCCTTCCTGTGGACCAATAAGCAGGTGCGAGAATGCTCACAATAGCAAAATACCCGGAGACGGTCCAGGAAAGAGGATGGATGCACAGGCTTCTCGGTACAGTGCAGCGTTATCCGCAGCAGCCCGACAGTTCTCCGTTCTTAAGGCGGTGGAATCAGAGAAGCATCATAATTTACGCTGCAGAATTCCCCCCTTCCATCCTTTAGGCCGTTTCTACAGGGCACCTTCTAGTTTGTCAGTTGGATTGAACCCAGTTACCTAGTGGAAACCAACTCACACATGAATCCCCCAAAATCGACTAGCATATGCATTGCTATTTCAGCTTTGCCCGGAATTCTTTTTCTCCAAACTGACCTTTCAAACTGGTTCCAGAAATAGGCTTCCCTTGCTCACATCGCCATCATCTTGGAAGAAATTAACAGGGAAAAAGGACTTTTCTGGTAACTGTCTGCCAATAAAATAGCAATCTGCAACTTTCAATCACCAGTCATATTCAGGTCAAGTTTAGCTATTAATTTCTCATAAATTTTAAACATTATAGTATCATTTACATATGAAAGTTTGCTTTCATAATCTAAGACCTGCTTCCAGATTTCCACCTCTGCTCCACCCATTTTGAGGTCCATGTGGCTGCACCATAGTTAAAGGGTGTGGTGTAAGGACAGGAGAGAAGTCAGGAAAAGCCTCACTGGAGCATGGTGAGCTGGTGTTTGTGTCCTCAGTGTGGAACTCATTGCCTTTTAATGTGGGCACACTGCTGGATTTTAAAGAATAATGCCAGGCCCTGTGGCTCACATCTATAACCCCAGCACTTTAGGAGGCCATGGTGGGAGGATAGTTTGAGACCAGTCTGGGCAACATAACGAGATCCTGTCTTTACAAAAAAAGTTGTTTTTTTTTTAATTAGCCAGGTGTGTTCTTGTGCTCCTGTGGTCCCAGCTAATTGGGAGGCTAAGGTGGGAGGATCTTGTGAGCCCAGGAGTTTGCAGCTGCAGTGACCTATGATGGTGCCACTGCACTCTGGCCTAGGTGAAAGAACAAGACCTTGGCCGGACACAGTGGCCCACGCCTGTAATCCCAGCACTTTGGGAGGCTGAGGCGGGTGGATCACCTAAGGTCGAGAATTCGAGACCAGCCTGACCAACATGGAGAAACCCTGTCTCTACCAAAAATGCAAAATTAGCCAGGTGTGGTGGCATATGCCTGTAATCCCAGCTACTCAGGAGGCTGAGGCAGGAGAATTGCTAGAACCTGGGAGGCGGAGGTTGCGGTGAGCCAAGATCGTGCCATTGCACTCCAGCTTGGGCAACAAGAGTGAAACTCTGTCCAAAAAAGAAAAGAAAGCGCAAGACCCCAACTCTTTATTTGTATTTTTATTTTTTGAGACAGAGTTTTGATCTTCTCGCCTAGGCTGGAGTGCAATGGTGCGATCTCAGCTCACTGTAACCTCCGTCTCCCAGGTTCAAACGATTCTCCTGCCTCAGCCTCCCAAGTAGCTGGGATTACAAGTGCCCCATGCACCATCACGCCCTGCTGATTTTTGTATTTTTAGTAGAGACAGGGTTTCACCATGTTGGCCAGGCTGGTCTCGAACTCCTGACCTCAGGTGATCTGCCGGTCTTGGCCTCCCAAAGTGCTCGGATACAGGCATGAGCCACCGTGGCCAGCCCCATCTCTTTTTTTTAAGAAAGGTAATCAACATTATGGATTCATTCATTTATTCAACAGAAATTTATTGGTTCTTGGAAACATTCCACTTTCCCAACCGCTTGGAATACTTTAGTGAACAAAACTAACAAATTCCATGCTCTCCTTAGCCTTACATTTTAATGAAGCAAGACAATAAATTGAAAGCATAATCAGGAAATTATATCCTAAATAGATAAATACTATATACTATGGAAATATACATACTTGCATACATATTTATATACATTATCAGACCAGCAGCTTAGGAAGCTTCTGGTGTGGAGGGAACAGTTTTCTCATGAGTCCTCATATGGCGGTGGTATGTGGATGACTGGCGGTAGCTTCTCTTACAATAGGGACATGTATAAGGCTTTTCTCCTGTGTGGATTCTCTCATGAGACCGCAGGTTGGTTTTGTGGCTGAAGGACTTTTCACACATGCTGCATGTAAAAGGCTTCTCTCCTGTGTGAATTATCTGATGCACATGTAGGTCTGATATCTGGAAGAAGCCTTTCTGACACTCGGGACAAACAAATGGCCTCTCATTCCTGTGTCTTCTCTGGTGAGCTAATAAGTGACAGAGATACTTAAAGACCTTGGGGCATTCTTCACATTTGTATGATTTTCGGACTCCATGGGATCCTTTCTGATGTACCTCACATGTGGGGTTCCCCTCATTGCTCTGGTGGGTGGGGGCAGACTTAGGGGATAACTGCTCTGGCTGAGAGATAAACCCTGCTCCCATCTCCATAGGGACACCTTGAAAAATAATTCCGTTTATGGAGCCTTCCTGGGATCTAGCAGTGACTAGCTCTGTTCTTCTTGAGTTGTATGGGTTGTCAGAAGAAACACCTCCCTCTTTAGGTCTAGGGCCATTCTCTTCCTGGATGATGATTAGAGAAACTATTTGATTGTCTTGATTAGTATTACTTTCATTTACTTGAGTAGTTTTCAAAGAACTGTTGCAGCCATCTTGTTCATCTTCATGTCCTGTGAAAATAGACACTCACTGAAGTTGTACTCAAGAAGGGGTCCACATAGAACACCCCTCAGTTGTGCAGATTTACCTGACTTACCTTGTCCTGTTTCTGAGGAAGTATCTTGGGAAGTCTGGAAGGGTGTCCCCATGTTTGCTTCTCTTGGGGTTTTGGCAGACACTTGTTTTGTGAGATGAACAATGACATCTTTTAAGGGCATATTGTCAGAAAAGAGAGCTTCCTGTCCCTGCATTTGGACATGGACCTGTAAAGAAAGCCAGATCACTGTAGTATCTGAATCTGTTGTGTAGCAGAAGACTTTTTGGAAAAGTGGCCCTTAACAGGCTCTCACAAACTCCCTCAAGTATTGGCTACCACATATTTTGTCCACCATCTCTGATGGTGTTATTCTTGTTACTACAAGCTCTTATGTTTAATAAAGTCACATATACATTGAATTTACAAGTACTGAATCATTTCCCCTAGGAAGAATTCAGGGTTAGTTCCTGTGAGCTTCTGGCCACATTATTTTTGTCAATTGATCAATACATGAGTTTATTTTATGTGTGTATATGTTCAAAGACACCTCATTTAATATATATTTATTGATTAAGTCTGAACTCAGAGGATCCAACACACGTATTATCTCCGTAATACATTGCAACTTCCTTGCACTTAGGAAGACTAGACAGTGTTTCAGCATTTTACTTCAGTGTCACTTTAAACAACAAAGTTATCAATAAAAAGCATAAAAGTGTGAAAATGTGCCACTAAATAGACTGTGAAAAGGACACTTATTTACACTGTAGGAACCAAAATAGGAAGCGAGGTTGTGACCTTGTTCAACCTCACCTGGAAACATGCACCTAAGGTGACTCAAATATTTTACCACTCTGCACATATCTGAAAATGATGGAGAAGATGCCTCAGGTATTTATTTTAGGCTTACAAATAAATTTTAGCAATTTTGCAAATATGGGCTCTGAGAATAAGGATCTATTGTAATAGTTCTTTAGAATGTCTTTCTTGATTAGGGTTCCCTGACAGAAGAACCAGCTCTTGTCAAGACATTTCTTCCTCAACCTTGAGGTCTTCATTTAAATGTCAATTTCAGGCCGGTCTCACACCTGCAATCCTAGCACTTTGGGAGGCTGAGGCAGGCGGATCACTTGAGGCCAGGAGTTTGAGACCAGCCCAGCCAACATGGTGAAACCCTGTCTCTATAAAAAACACAAAAATTAGCCGGGCTTGGTGGAGCACGCCTGTAATCCCAGCTACTCTGGAAGCTGAGGCATGAGAATGGCTTGTGCCTGGGAGGCAAAGGTTGCAGTGAGCCGAGATCATGCCACTGCACTCCAGCCTGGGCAACAGGGAAAAAAAAAAAAAAAAAGTCAATTTCTCTGCCATTATACAGACTAAAATTAACTTATTCAAACATCAATATGTTTGGCTCCTATATGTCCTACAGAGTAAAAAGATACATACCTTTTTGCTTTTTTTCTTGAGCACTTAGGACATTGAAGATTATTCTTTGTGAGAATGGTGGGAGAGTGTGAGCTGACTAATAACTGGATCTCCAATAGCTTCTCTAACTTCCAGACAACTCTAACTGACCGTGATTTATTTCTTACTTTCCTCTGTCCCTCATCCCAGAAGTCAGAACGCTGTACTCACTAAGGCAGGTGGATTTATGATGTCATCAGTCAGGTCTTCCATGAATCTCTCCAGGTTTTTGCCACTTGATTTCCATTTCTCTTTCACACTGGCTTTGTCATGGCAGTGGCCACCAATCATAAACTGCTCCAGGACTAATAGAGAAATAATTTCATCCTTGCTGTGCTTTTCTGGTTGCAGCCATGAGTGAAAGATCCTATAAAGTCTTTGCAATTCCTGCCTTGCATATGAATTATTGCTGTCTTGAAATGAATTCAGCATCGTTCTTGAGAACTCAGAAATCCCTTCTTCTGTCTGAACAGCAGGTCCTTGACTTCGTCGAAACTCTGAATTTTCTGATCCAAGATTATTCTTGGATGGTTCACACTGAAATACGGTTCTTAGATCTAAAGCCATTCTTAGCAATAAATCTGAGAGACTTAACTTTGATGATTCAGTCCCTTGAGTCTCTAGGGATTTCTTTCAACAGTTGGTGGATTCTTTAAAACTGCAAGCTAGAAATAGAAAAGAGATAAGTAATTAATTGCACCACTGGCATAATTAAAAACAAATCAACCAAAAAGTTAGGCCTAGATGGTTCTATGGATGAATTCAAAGAAATAATTATAACTTAACATAAACTCTCCAGGAGCATATAAGAGGAAGCACTACCCACTTTAGTTACTGAGGTCAGCACTTCCTGATATCAAAATTTTACAAATACATTAAAATAATCCAAAACAAAATATTTGAAAATCAGATCTACTCACATATACATCACAAGTGGTATTCATTTCTAAAATGCAGGAAGTTTGGGTTAAAATTCAAAAATCAATGCAATTTACTTCGTTAACAGGATATGGCTACAAGAATGTAATAAAATCATCTCAATGAATGCATTTAAAATGTTTAAATGCCAGTGTTTATTACTGAAAAAGGCACATAATAAACTAGAAGTATTAGGAAATATCCTTGGCTGGGCACAGTGGCTTACTCCTGTAATCCCAGAACTGTGGGAGGCCAAGGAGGGTGGATCACTTGAGGTCAGCAGTTCGAGACTAGCCTGGCCAACATGGTGAGGCACCATCTCTACTAAAAATACAAAACTTGCTGGGCATGGTGGCTCACGCCTGTAATCTCAACACTTTGGGAGACTGAGGCAGGTGGATCACCTGAGGTCAGCATTTCCTTTTTTTTTTTTTTTTTTTTTGAGACGAAGTCTCGCTCTGTCACCCAGGCTGGAGTGCAGTGGCCGGATCTCAGCTCACTGCAAGCTCCGCCACCTGGGTTCACGCCATTCTCCTGCCTCAGCCTCCCGAATAGCTGGGACTATAGGCACCCGCTGCCTCGCCTGGCTAGTTTTTTTTTTTTTTGTATTTTTTAGTAGAGACGGGGTTTCACCATGTTAGCCAGGATAGTCTCGATCTCCTGACCTCGTGATCTGCCCGTCTTGGCCTCCCAAAGTGCTGGGATTACAGGCTTCAGCCACCATGCCCGGCCTCGAGGTCAGGATTTTAAGAACAACCTGACCAATATGGTGAAACCCCATCTCTGCTAAAAATACAAAAATCAGCCAAGCATGGTGGTGTGTGCCTGTAGTCCCAGCTACTCAGGAGGCTGAGGTGGGAGAATTGCTGGAGCCCGGGAGGTGGAGATTGCAGTGAGCTGAGATCGTGCCACTGCACTCCAGCCTGGGCGACAGAGCAAGACTTTGTCTAACACACACACACACACACACACACACACACACACAGAACTTAGCCGGGTGTGGTGGCACGTACCTGTAGACCCAGATACTAGCTACTTCAGTGGCGGAGGCATGAGAATCGCTTGAACCTGGGAAGTGGAGGTGGCAATGAGCCAGGATCATGCCACTGAGTTCCTGCCTGGGTAACAGAGTGAGACTCTCTCAAAAAAACAAAACAACAACAACAAAAACTTGATGTGAAAAATATTTTACAAAATAATTACAACAAAATTTATTGTTAAAAGTTTTCTGCTTCAGCTATCATCTCTATGAAACATTGGATTGCTCCCTAACCAGTGAAATAAGGAAAGAAAATATTTCAAACCTATTTATAGAGTCTTGATTTTGTTTACAAAACGTATTCAATAAATTTGGTGGGGATGTAAATCAGTTAACCTCTATGGAAAACAGATGGAGATTTCTCAGAGAACTAAAAATAGAACTATCATTTGATCCAGCTCGGTATCTACTCAAAAGAAAAGAAATGGTTATGTAAAAAAGACACCTGCACTAATATTTTGATTGCAGCACTAGTCACAAGAGCAAAGTCATGGAACCAACCTAAGAGGCTACCAGTGGTTGACTGGATAAAGAATATGTGAAATACATACCATGGAATATTATGCAGCCATAAAAAAGAATGAAATTAGTCCATTGCAGCAACATAGATGGAGCTGGAGGCCATTATCCTAAGTGAACTAACTCAGAAACAGAAAACCAAATACCACATGTTCTCACTTATAAGTGCTAGCTAAACAGTGGGTACACATGGACATAAGGATGGAAATAACAGATGCTGGGGACTCCACTGGGGGAGGTGGGAGAGAAATGGGTATTGAAAAATTACCCACTGGGGGCCGGGCGCGGTGGCTCAAGCCTGTAATCCCAGCACTTTGGGAGGCCGAGACGGGCGGATCACGAGGTCAGGAGATCGAGACCATCCTGGCTAACACGGTGAAACCCCGTCTCTACTAAAAAATACAAAAAAAAAAAAAACTAGCCGGGCGAGGTGGCGGGCGCCTGTAGTCCCAGCTACTCTGGAGGCTGAGCCAGGAGAATGGCGTGAACCCGGGAGGCGGAGCTTGCAGTGAGCCGAGATCTGGTCACTGCACCCCAGCCCAGGCGACAAAAAAAACCCCCCCCCAAAAAAAAAAAAAAAAAAAAAAAAAAAGAAAAATTACCCACTGGGTACAATGTTAACTATTTGAGTAATGGGTACACTAGAAGCCCGATTTCCACTAATATGCAGAATACCTTTGTAACAAACATGCGCATGTACTCCCTGAATCTAAAATAAAATAAAATATTCAACAACTAGTAGCCTACGTGAATTTAGTAAGATGTCTATTACAATGCCAATATACCAAAATGAACTGAATATTATAATATTATGTTATCACAAGCAGTTGAAATTAAAACCAAAAACCTCTTTTCACTGTGACGCCTGTAATCCCAACACTTTGGGTGGCTGAAGTGGGTGGATCACTTGAAACCAGGAGTTCAAGACCAGACTGGTCAACATGGTGAAACCCTGTCTCTACTAAAAATATAAAAATTAGCCGGACGTGGTGGTGCATGCCTGTAATTCCAGCTACTCGAGAGGCTGAGCCAGGAGAATGGCTTGCACTTGGGAAGCAGAGGTTGCAGTGAGTTGAGATCGGGCCACTGCACTTCAGCCTGGATAACACAGAGAAACTCCGTCTCAATAACAGAAATAGTAATCATCGTCGTCATCACAATCATCATCATCAGAAAATAAAGTATTAGAAACTGAGAGTAGAAGGGTGGTTGCCGGGAGCGTGGTGGCGCATATGGGAAGATGTTGAGCAAATGGTGCAAACTTTATTTCTTTATTTTGAGACAGGGTCTCCCTCTGTCAGCCAGGCTAGAGTGCAGTGGTGCCATCACAGCTTACTGCAGCCTCAACCTCCTGGGTTCAAGTGATCCTCCTGCCTTAGCCTCTTGAGTAGCTGGGACTACAGGCATGCACCACCACACTAGGTTAATTTAAAAAAATTTTTCTTTTCGAGGCTTGGTCTCGCTGTTTTGTCCAGGCTGTCTTGAACTCCTGGACTCAAGTGACTGCTCCTCACTCTAGCCTTTCAAAGTACTAGGATTACAGGCATGAGCTACTATGCCTATGGCAAACTTTCTTTTATAAAATGAATATGTGGCTGGGCACGGTGACTCGTGCCTGTAATCCCATCACTTTGGGAGGCCGAGACAGGCAGATCACTTGAGATGAGACATGGTGAAACCCCGTCTCTACTAAAAATAAAAAATTAGCCAGGCATGGTGGTGCACACCTGTAATTCTAGCTACTCGGTAGGCTGAGGCAGGAGAATCGCTTGAACACGGGAGAAGGAGGTTGCAGTGAGCCGAGATTGTGCCACTGCACTCCAGCCTGGGCGACAGAGTGAAGCTCCATCTCAAAATAAATAAATTAATTAATTAATTAAATAAATGTCACCACGTCATTCTCAGGCTAGGAAAAAAATGAATATTCTCTGGAGATCTGATGTACAGCATGGTGGCTATAGCTAATATATATTGTATGCTTGCAATTTGCTAGATTTTCAGTGTTCTCATGATGTAAATAAGATAATTGGCTCACGCCTGTAATCCTAGTGCTTTGGGAGGCCGAGGTGGGCATATCGCTTGAGGTCAGCAGTTCAAGACCAGCCTGGTAACATGGTGGATCCCCACCTCTACTAAAAATGCAAAAATTAGTTGGGTGTGGTGTCATGCACCTGTAATCCCAGCTACTTGGGAGGCTGAGGCACAAGAATTGCTTGACCCCTAGAGGTGGGGGTTGTAGTGAGCCAAGATCACACCACTATACTCTAGCTTAGGTGACAGAGCAAGACTCTGTCTCAAAAAAAAAAAAAGAAAGAAAAAGAAAAAAGATTACTATGTGAGGTGATAAATATGCTAACTAACTTTATTGTGGTAATCATTTTGCAATGTATACATATATACAGAGAGAGATGTCACGTTTTACACCTTAAATAGATGCAGTCTTTGTCAATTATACCTCAGTAAAGCTAGAGAAAACAAGAAAAAAAGAAGAGAATAAAATAGAAAAGACAAGCCAGAATCCATACAAATGACACCTTTCTCTGGTTGAAAACTTATTAGGCACAGACATCTGCAAGGCCACTACCAGCTACACCCACTGTGTTGTGAAAGGATACATTCCTTGGAAAACATTCTTAGTACCTTTACTGTTTGAATTTTTTTCCTCTTAACCGTTACCATCCCTTAGAACTTCACTGCTTTAACCAAAGCTATAATTTTATGTTTATCTGTTTTTACTCCCTGTCCTTTCCCACTGATGCTTAGGATTCAGAAGTAAAACTGAGTTTGCATTGCTTGAAATTGATTTCTAATCCCAAATCAAATTACCTGCCTGTACAACTATAGACACACCCTTTGGAATCCTGAATGGATAAAGAATTTAATCCCTTTTCTGTTAATGTATCACAGCTATTTTTGTGGGGTTTTCCCCTCCAATTTTATACATGGTTAACATTTCAAAGATTTGTGCAATTTTGAAAAAAGCAAACTTCATGCCATAAAATCAGAAAATGGTGGGAGTAATACGTGGGCACACAAAAACCTAACTGATTTCTGTTAGCTAATGTTATTTCCTGCTTGTGTTAATCTCATCTGGTCTGATTAGACCAGATCTGCCACCCTGATGGCATCAGTTAATGAGGCAGAGGTGATCCTGGTAAAACCTCTTGGGAGAAAATGGAACACATTCTTGCCTTTCCCTAATCCCTTTGTCATAATGCTTCCAGTCAACGTTTACAAAATGCTAATCTGCTCACATCATACCCCACTCTACTCTCTGGATGGCTCCCCTTTGCCCTCAGGGAAAAGCACTGAGTCTTTGTCCTATGAGGCTTTCCTGGGCCAGCTCTACACTTCTCAAGCTCCATCTTAGGTGTTGTGGCTGGTTCTCTACATGTAGGGACATTGGTCTCTCTCCCTTTGTTTTTGTTTTTTGTTTTTTCCTGTGGAACCCATGGCTTCTCCTTCATTTCACTTCCCTCCAAGTTCTCTTTTTGGATTACCCACCGTTTTTCCCCATGACACACAGACCACATGTTCACACTTGGAGACATGCACTACGTCCCACATAGACAAGGCTGCAAAGTATTATGGTTTATTTCCCAGAGCCTGGGAATTCAAAACAAGGCTACCGGAGTTCTAATCTGGAGTCTGGCATTTACAAACTGTGTGATGCAGGCGTGCTTCCCATCAGGTCTGGGTCTGTGTCCTGGGGTTTATGATCTCTAGTGACCCTCAGCTAAATATCTCCTATAATGCAATACAAAGGAATTACTAAGCTGGGCGCAGTGGCTCACGTCTGTAATCCCAGCACTTTTGGAGGCTGAAAGTGGGCAAATCACTGGAGGCCAGGAGCTTGAGACCACCCTGGGCAACATGGCAAAATCTTGTCTCCTCAAAAAATAGAAAAATTAGCCTGGTGTGGTGGTGTGCGCCTGTAGTCCCAGCTACTCAGGAAGCTAATGTGGAAGGATCACTGGAGGCTGGGGAGGCTGAGGCTGCAGTGAGCTGTGACTGGGCCGGGAAAACTTTAGCGAGGGAGACAGAGACCTTGTCTCGGGAAAAAAAAAAAAAAATTACTAGAACATAAAGCGATACGATAGACTTTTCTAAGAGAAATCTTCAGTCACACCAGTCCTTTATACAAAGTACACGACATTAAGCCCTTTTGGGTCAGAGCTGTTTTAACAAAAGATCATTCCCTACACCTGGGAGACCACCATATCTCTGTACTTAGGAATTTTCCTGAAACAGCTATGCCTACATACACATGCATACACACTCAGAGACACAAAACTGGGAATTTTCCTCCCATTATGGAAGCTTACCTCCTTCTTGGTTGGCTGGGTAGTCCCGGGCTGAACACTGAGCTGTTGTGTGACCGACTTTCCACACTGGGTTTATCTGATGTGCCTCCTAAGGCTGCTCCCTTTTATAGGATCTAGAATCAGTGATTTAAAGACATGATTGGATAACACTTGTCTGTTGATTGAATTACTGATGGAATCTTCATCCAGCCACAGCTCCGTGTCTCTAATATAGTGTTAAATACCATCACTGGTCCTAGGTCAATAGGTCATAAACAAACACATTAGTATTTCTGCAGGCTAGGTGCAGCAGCTCACACCTGTAATCTCAGCACTTTGGGAGGCCGAGGCAGGCAGATCACCTGAGATCAGGAGTTCGAGACCAGCCTGGCCAACATGGTGAAACCCTTTCTCTACTAAAAATACAAAAATTAGCCGGGCATGGTGGTGGGCATCTGTAATCCCAGCTACTCGGGAGGCTGAGGCAGGAGAATCGCTTGGACCTGGGAGGTGGAGGTTACAGTGAGCCAAGATTGCACCACTGCAT